TCCACTTGCTGTTTAAACATCTGGAAGGACTCTGATAAAACGACCTCTTCAGGCATACAATTTCACATCCTCATAGTTTTCACCATAAACAAAACAACTTTTCTTTGCCTTAGATTAAATCTCCTTTCTTCCAGACTAAATGCGTGCCCTTGTGTCCTATGTATAGCCCTGTTTATGAATAGATTTCCAGATAATGGTTTGGACTGTCACCGAATATATTTGCATAATTTTATCATATCCCTCTGAGGTGCCATTTCTCCAAACTAATGTGGCTTGTCTCTGCACTTTTTCTAGTGCCATGTTATCTTCTTTAGAACAGGTGCCCAAAATTGTACAGCATATTCAAGGTGTGGTCTTACCAGCGATTTATAAAGATACAAAATTATATTTTCATCCTGAGAATTTATGCCCCTATTTATACATGACAAGACCTTACTGGCCTTAGCAGCTGCAGATTGACATTGCATATTGCTGCCTAATTTGTTGTCTATAACAATTCTCAAATCCATTTTGTGTGTTGTTATCCCTAATTCACTGTCATTTAAGGTGTAAGTTGCTTGTGCATCCTTGACCCCAAAGTGTATAACTTTGCATTTCTCTATATTAAATTTAATCTGCCATTTTAGTGTCCAGTCCCCCAATCTATCTAAATCCCTCTTCAGCAAAGCAATATCCTGCTCACATTTTATTACTTTACAAAGTTTTGTGTCATCTGCAAACACTAAAACATGACTTTCAATGCATATTGCAAGATCATTTATAAATATGTTAAATAGAGGCAGTCCCAAAACAGAACCCTGAGGGACACCACTTACCACTTTTGTCCAGCTTAAAAATTTACCACTAATGACAACTCGTTGTACCCCACTCAGCTCCTCAAGTACTCGTGGATGAATACCGCCAGGCCCCGGATCGTTAGGTACATTAATTTTCTTTAACTGCTGTAACTTGTCTCGAGTCATCCAATCACAAGTTATCTGTAACCATTTTCATATTTCTTGCCATAGGATACTCATTAATATATATATATATATATATATTTTTTAAATTGTAATTTTAAATTTCTGCCTTTTCAAGTTCTTCATTAACTAACAGATCCTTCTCGGTTTCCAGTGTACCGACACTTTCATGTTTTGTTGTTTTGGAATTGATGTACTTGAAAACATTTTTGGGGTCGGTTTTGCATTCTTTGGCTATCAGTTTCTCATTTTCTAGTTTAACCACTTTAATTGCCTTTTTGCAAGCATTATTGGCTTCCTTATATCTTATATAGGATGCCTCTGATATGTCCGATTTAAATGCCCTTTTCTTATTTTTAATCTCTTGTTTTACTTCCTTACTAAACTACATTGGTTTTAATTGTTTCTTTTATATTTATTATGCAATGGTACATACTAAGAAATGTACCTTTCCAATATTTGTTTGACGAGTTTCCATTTACCCTCAGTGTTTGCTTTTTTTCACTAAGGAGTTTATGCTAGTCAATATGTTGCAGAGCTGCCCTAATCTTATTGAAATTTGCTTTTTCAAATTTGCTTTTTCTAAAAAGAATTTTAGTATACCCCACATGCTTTTGCTTTTTTGAGTTTATTTTAAAAAATACCATATTGTGATCACTGTTTCCCAAATGTTCCCCTTCTTGAATGTTGGTCAAAAGATCAACATTGTTTGTTATAACGAGATCCAGACATACATAGATTCTAGTTGGCACTTGTACTAGTTGTGACATGAAGGTGTCATTTAACACATTCAGAAACATAATTCCCTTGCTGAAGTACTAGTCACTCTATCCCAATTTATGTCCAGGTAATTAAAATCTCCAATAAATAACGTGATATCCTGATTTGCAGCTTTCCCAATCTGCTCTAGCAGCTCTTCTTCCTCATTAATATTTACATTAGGTGGTTTATAACATATCCCAACCAATAGTTGATTTCCCTTTGTTTGCCCTAAGCAGATATCTACCCATAAAGCTTTTCACATTTTTCTTGTCACACTCCACATGCCTAAGATTTGACTTTAACTCATGGTTGACATACAAACATTCCCCACCACCCTTCTTGTTTTTCTTATCCTTCCTAAATAACGTGTACCCATTTAAGTTAACTGCCCATGTGTCTCATCTCACCATGTTTCTGTTTTGCCTATTATAGCATATTGTTTAGTGTATGCTATTGCCTCTAGTTCCCTCATTTTGTTATATACCATATTGTTTAGTGTATGCTATTGCCTCTAGTTCCCTCATTTTGTTATTTAGGCTCCTTGCATTAGTAAGCAAACATTTAATATTATCATGTTGTCCTATTTACACAATCACTATTCAAGCAAGCATGTACTTTTACTGGGTCTGGTAGCAATGTCTCTTAGATCTGGTATGTTGGTGCTAGGATCCACTAATGGATTTTAGTTTTCTAAAGTTATTTTCCTGAGTTTTTTTTTGTTACTATAGTGACCATTGCTTGTCAGTATCAATGAAGATATTGACCTAAATTTTGTTTTATAATCTTTTAGGTGAGGTATGTCAAGTAATGTTTATTTTTTTTCGAGAGTCCACAAATTGACTCATACATTATCGGCCTTACCTTACACCTGGCTCTTAAGAATATCTGCTTTTATTGTATATTAGGTCACTTTGGATTAAGGTTTCAAGACATTTAGGAATCAGATGTTCGTTGTCTCATCATATTCATTTCTGGTAAAAAAAAAATTCTCCATAACTGCAGATATTTGATTTATCAGATCTACTGTAGCATTTGATCTATTTACACTAATTCTAGTACTTTGGTAGGTCCATTTCTATTCATGGTTCTGTGGGGATATTTATGGGATGATAATTTTAAGCAGTCGAGAATTGTCCACTTTTTCAATTCTCTTAGATCGTAGAGATTATTTATCATGTAAGTGAAAAGTATTCCATACAATTAATGATCACAATGTGTTATAAAAATAGAGTTTATTTTAATAATTAATTAACAATAATATTAGGTGGCATGCATGATAATGATCAGTGAATATTTAGTATAACATAGTATACAATACAATGGAATGGGTATACATGTTTCAATGGCTAAACAGCATTTTCTATCAAGACTTACACGATTTATGAGGGTATCCTTACAGACAAAAAGTGAAGCTTTTCACAGCGAAGAGCCATAAAGCCCTGGCTAACAGTTAGATCAACTGAGTAACCCTTTCAATGCTGGCTAGATCCTCCTAGGCATATAGTATCCTATACTCCTGTGCTTTTCAATTAAATACATTTAAACCAGCTCATTAGTCATTTCCTGGAACCATCCAATAAGAATAATCTACCAGATTCTATAAGCAGAATTTTAATTTGTCTAAAAGATATCTTATCTTATATTAGAGCAAATCAATAAACCTGGATAAAAACAGCGGTATGCTAACATGTGATACTATCACATTAATATATAATTATTCTTAATTCCACCTGCAGAATGGAATGTTTATAACTATATATTCTTTAGTTAACTAAGATTTCTAATATGGAAATCTGACCGTGATTTATCCAGTCATATATCATGCTATTAGTAAATTTTAATTAATTTAAATTAATTAAATGAAACCAGCATAATTACCAGTTATGTAGATATTCTCATCAGATGAGTAGGTAGTCCCAGAGACTTGATTGGTTGCATGGAAGTGCGTGAGTGATAGAAAAAGTATTAAAGAGTTTAAGAGTTTATGTCCAAGAGAGTTTAAGGGTAGAGTGTTAGTCCCAGATATTGTCCTGGATTTCTTTGCATGTCCGAGTTGGAATCCCAAACTTCAATTCATCTCTCTGTCTCCAACTCCAACCACAACCCTGTCTTCCCTTTGTCCTAACTTTTAAAGGGCCAGACTCTCTGTACGTCATTAGTTGATAAACCAATAGGCAGCCGTAGGTGTGTCCAATCAATGGATCGCAATTTAGGTATTTGATCCATAGATGGCAGTCTCGTCTAACGAAACCTTCCTATCCAGGAAAGAGTTAACTTTTCCTGATGACGATTTTGACGTCATTAGGCTTATCTAAAATGACTACCATAACTTAGATTTGCTGTCAGTTCAAAGCGTTTATCCCAGTCTTTGTGGAATCTACTTGATCGTAACTTGTAAAATTGACAGTTCTAAACTCAATTTCACCCCTTACTATAATGGTACCTTATAAAATTTAGAAAGTAAAATTAATTACTTAGTCTTCTCTGTCACTAGTGTCTGTGTTTAGATATGCATCTATTCCATTAACATTTTAGACAGAGCGTTCCATCCCCCTTGCTTCATTGCTTATCTTGGTTTGTTTATGTAATACATTCCTCAGCTCAAGCAAGTGGCTAGTTACTGAAAGTAAGAAGAAACTATGTGTCTGTTATCCTGAAGATAGCAAAATGGACTCTGCTTTGTTCTGAGTAGCTGTGGCAATATACACTTTTAATTTCTTTTTAGCACAAAATGTCTGTTGTTATAAATATTCTGACATAATCCCCCTTAGTGACTTTCCATAGCAATGATTAAATTAGCCTATGAATAGGCACTATAAAAGTTACCAGACATATTTTGCACTCACATCATTTCTACTGACGTAGGCCCGTGCGTGGAATTAATATTTTTGTATATCTTTGTACCTGTGAGAGCTTTGAACTTTACACTTAGTACAATCAACCATAATATTATTATAAACATAGTACATTGTTTTCATTTTAAAAATGTTTTTGGGAGTTACATATGGTATGGTTAATAAAAAGCAAATCTCCATACGTTCCGGATCAATTAAGAGAGGTATAGCACTCCCCATCTCAAAGGCCAGATTTAATTGCATAGGCTCAATCGTTTCTCCATCCACATTGGCAAGCATCGCATTAACAATATCCTTGGATACAAAGTACAGAGGTATGCATCCCCCTGCCAATTCAATCATTCCAGTTTTCACTTTGGCAAGAAAAGCAAGTGTGTGGAACAATATTTGGTCATGCAGAAATAGAAGTTCACGCTTAAATAAGTCATGACTTTGGTGCAATTAACTCCGAATGCAAATTTGTTGTAACAACTGTGTCTTCCACAATAGTTAACACGTCCTGGAGAAGTGTTCTTTGCTGGTTTATCACCTGATGAATATCGTTAATGTGTTGCTTTAGCGCATAGATTTCCATATCCAGCTTTTGGACAGTAATAGAGTTGGCTGCAGACATTCCAGTTGCAACAACTGCACCAACAGTGGCATAAACTAATGCAACAATTATGGTGGTGAGGAATCTTTTGGGTCGGTTGCTCATCGAAATAGTACTGGATACAAATGGTTTCCGGGCTTGCTCCAAGATGTTTCGCACACGGTCCTGTGCTCTTTGGAGGTGCATCTGGTACCAAGTCTGTAACTCAGGAAGCTGCATCGATGAAATGTTGTATGCCTTCTCGATGGAAATCTTGGGGTCCAAGCTGACGAACACACGTCGGGTCAGGATCCTCTTCTCTGTCAAGATGAACCCTGGTGTCTCTTGAATCAGGATGCCGGAGGATGGTCCACTCTGCGATCGGGTCGGTCCGTATCTCTTGGCACAGGAGCAGTACGATCCAGAAACACGCCACATCCTTCTTGGACATCTTTCGACAGTCACGGATTTGGAACTCGTTTCAGACTTATCTACTAATGATTCAAGGTTTGTTAAGCATAAAAACTTATAACAGTATGACATCACTTGGCCTAGGACAACACATTATTACGAGTCATCAACATATGTATTCTCTCTAATTCCATTTTTATAACTTCATCCCTCACTACATTTATTACTGACTCTTCAGTAATTCGCCTATAGCAATTAAGCAAGCTAGTAACCTGCTTAGAAAATGTAGTTATTGGATGGCAAGGAAATGTTTAATGACATGAACGTACATGAGATCATGGCACATCACAACATTTCACATCATACTATACCACGTGAATCAAGCAGTCATCCAGGTTAGTCGTTCATCCTTCTGCATCCAAATCCACACCTATAATCCTTAATTGAGATTTAGGATGACAAGCACGCAACTGGTTAATGTGAACCCACTTTTTAATAAAATCACCATCCTTAGGAATTTTTATTTTATACGCTACAGGGGAAATTTTGTCAATGATGACATATGGCCCTTTCCAAGAAGGTAAAAATGTATTTTCCTTAACTTGATTTTGCGCAAAGTTATACAGATAGACTTGATCTGTGATCTCATATTCCTTTTTCGTGGTTTTTAAATCGTAATAGGTCTTAACCCCTGTCGCTGCATTTTCTAGATTCTTTTGGGCAAAAGCAAACGCATGCTGTAAATGTTTGCGCAAATCTTCGATATACTGATGCGTAGTGGCAGCATTGATCAAGTTATGATCCGAAGTACGATATAGTAAATGCTGTGGTAAAACCATCTTTCTTCCTGTCATCAATTCAAAAGGTGACAATTTGGTAGCAGTGCTAGGTGTAGCTCTAATCGCCATTAAAACTAGGGGCAGTTTAATGTCCCAGTCTTTACCAGACTCCTTAACATATTTCTTCAGAATATTAACGATAGACTGGTTATATCGCTCTACCACCCCCCCGCTAGACACAGCGCGGTATGCAATATGTAGTTTTCGTTTAACACCTAGAATTTTCCACATCTTAGCCATTACTTCGCTGGTAAAGTGACTACCTCTGTCTGACTCAATTCTTTGAGGCAGACCGAACCTGGAAAAGACATGGTTAATCAACAAAGTGGCGCACACGGTACTCGTGTTCTCTTTACAAGGCAAACATTCTATCCACTTTGTGTACATACATGTAACAGTTAACATGTATTTGTTACCTCTTGAAGATCTTGTTACAGGACCTATAAAGTCAATTTGAATATCAGACCAGGGTAATGACACCCCCCTCTTCTGAAGTGGTGCACGATGGGTTGGACCATGGGGTTGATATTGCGGACAAATCAAGCATCCCTGACAGTATGTCTTAACATCCCTTAACATGTGTGGCCAATATGCATAATCACACAATATCTCATATGTGATCTTATCACCACGATGCCCAGATGTAGGTGCATCATGTGCGTGTTGGAGCATTAACCCTCTGTATACAGTTGGGACTACCCATTGTTGTATACCATGTTTAGAAGTACTGACCAGTAACCCAACCATGATACTAAATTGGACTTTATATCTCATCAAGATTCGTAAATCTTCATTATCTTTGCAATCCTCATCTGTGATGGGATTGGCAGTAGGGTCTTCTATATGTCTATAGAATATGCCTATGACAGGATCATTCTTTTGACTGGTAATCAGGTCCTCACTAGGAGCTTCTTGACTCCATTGCACGACGTTTAAGTTGGCATTATCTCTATCCTGTCGTCTAGTTATGGCTTCAACATGAATTAAACCCATAAGACCATCAATGTTTAGGGTTTCACCATTGATGGCAGCTTGTTTTGCCAGTGAATCGGCTGTCATTACCATCCTTGTCAATACCTTCTATTTTAGAATGGCCTTTGGTTTTCTTCCAATATATGGTTAAACCATTTTCCTTAACCAGTTCATCGATTTTACAAAACAATTTCCCATGTTTAACAGGTTTGTTATTGCTTTTCAGCATTTGGTTACGTTTCCAGCTAGGCAGATATTCAACGAAACTGTTGCGAACATAGTTGGAATCAGTTATGATAACGAATTCTTTGATACCATATTCTATTGCCATTTGAATGGTCTTATATACTGCACAGAGTTCGGCTATCTGACTGCTTTTGGAACCAATATTGTATCCTATAGATACATTGGGATAATCGCCTGTCCAGGCGATTCCGATACCTGCAACTAACTTCCGTTCAGCACCAGCGGCGTGGTGATATGAACAACCATCAATGTATACCCACGGTAGTGGTCGACAGTATTCCTCGTCATAAACTTTATAAGGGGATAGAAATTGCTCTTCTAGGAAGTCATCTCCGGTGTTTCTATGTTTCTATGTCATCATCATCCAGAGATGGAGCAGTACAGTCATGTAATTCTGCTAAACCTTGGGCAATTGGGCTTCTCTTATTATGTTTATAACGGACTTCTAATGGCCATCCCTGTAAGGATAGAGTCCATGCAGTAATCCGACTGTTAGAGAGATTACTGTCTCTGATTCTTTCACTCTGAAGATACTGTAGAGGTTGGTGATCTGTTTCTACAATTATTTTCTCACCTTGGATATAGCTACTAAAATTTTGTAGTGCCCAGACAGTCGACAATAACACCTTCTCACACGTGTTGAATTTAACTTCAACAGGTGACAAAGTCTTGCTAGCATATGCAATAACTTTGTTTAAACTGTCCTGCTTCTGATACAGAACAGCACTTATGCTTAAATCTGTATATCCTGTCTCCAGATAGAAGGGTTTACCCCCCTCTGGGTATGCTAAACAGGGTGCCTGAGTGAGCTTCCTCCTCAGTTCACTTACCGCTTGGTCCTGAGGCTCCCCCCAGTTCCAGGTAATTTCCTTTTTAAGCAGGTGTAAGAGTGGTTTCGTTATTTCTGCATAGTTATCTATAAACTTATGGGAGTAGTTAGTCATACCAAGGAAGGATCTTAATTCCCTGATGTTTGAAGGTGTTTTAGCCTTAATTACAGCTTCAACCTTCTTCCTCTGGGGATTTAATCCTTCAGAAGTTACCTCATGTCCGAGGAAATTGACATGGGTGCGACACCATTGTGCCTTTTGTAAAGACAGTTTTATCCCTACCTCTCTTAACTGAGTGAGAACATGTCTAATCTCTATGATATGCTTATCAAAGGAAGTGCTTTTCAGCAAGACATCGTCAACATATGATAACGTTCCTCTCTCGGGTGCGTCAGGCATAGCTTTATGCATGAACACAGCGAATTCATGACCAGAGTTTATGTAACCGAAGGGCATACGGGTCCAGGTATACCGCTGCTTTCCAAATGTAAAGGCCAATTTGTATTGGTCTTCATCGTGGACTGGTACAGTCCAATATCCCTGCGCACAGTCAATGGCAGTGAATATTTTGGATCCCTGCATTTGTACCAAACATTGGTCTATGTATGGCACTGGCCAACCAGACATATAGACGCGTTTATTTAGCTGTCGTAAGTCAGCGCATAAACGCCATTGTCCATTAGGTTTCAGAATCCCCAAGATTGGATTATTATACGAAGTGTGCACTGGACGTATAATGCCACTTTCCTTTAAATTCTGAATGATGTCTTGTAGACCATCATATGATGCTAATGGGAGTCTATATTGTTTGATAAATACAGGTGGTAAATTTGGATCAGTTTGTATTCTGGCTACGTGGAGGTTAGTTAACCCACAGTCGTAGGAATCTTTGGCAAAAATATCTTGGAATTCCATTAGGATTTCCTTTAGCTGTTGCCACTCAGCATCGTTGGAGCAACCGTCAGCTAAAGATATTTGCTCTTCTAGCCTTTCCTGAAATCCTGGAAAGATTTCAGGCTGGCCTATCTCATAAGCTTCTTCAAGCCTAGAAGTTAGGTCAGTTCGGTGTTGACTTACCTTTTCTCTTTGATCGTGATACTCTCGTGATTCCTGCTTATTGAGCGGATGATCGAAGGTGAATGATGCTTCTTCGATTTTACATGAGCCTTCTTCGACATTGAAGGCATACACAGATAGGATAGTGAATAATCCTTCTGGGGAGGAATGTGTCAGGATTACTGTTTGATCCAGCACGTAGAACTGTACAGCACGGATGACAAATAAGTAACGTATTACTGGTCCTTAGAACCCTTCTATCTGGAGAAAGTTAAAACGTTAAAGGAACAGTGACCATCTAGCCTGTCTGGAAGACAAACGTTTGGCATCCCCTATATATGCCAGATTTTTGTGGTCGGTTATGATCAACAGGGGGTCCTTGGAACCCTCCAAAAGATGTCGCCACTCCTTGAGGGCAAGAATAATGGCCAACAGTTCTCTATTGCCAATATCGTAGTTGCACTCAGCAGGAGATATCTTTCTGGAGAAGTAGCCACAATGATGCAATGGTGTTCCCTGGCTTTCTCTCTGAGAGAGAACAGCCCCTACACCTGTCTCGGATGCATCAACCTCCAATATAAAAGGTTTACTAGTGTTGGGATGTTTTAGTATGTCCGCAGAGGCAAATCTTTGTTTAAGAGTCTCAAAAGCATTCACAGCCTCTTTGGACCATACCGTGCTACTAACCCCTTTGCGAGTCATATTTGTGATTGGGGCTATTACAGAAGAAAATCCCTTGATGAATCTTCTGTAATAGTTGGCAAAACAAATAAACCTTTGAATGGCTTTTAAACTAGAGAGTAATGGCCAGTGTAGTACAGCCTCTAGTTTTTTAGGATCCAGTTGAAATCCCGATGCCGAGATGTTGTAACCCAAAAAGTGGACTTCAGGCTGGTCAAATATGCACTTTTCTAGTTTACAATAGAGTTTATTTTTCAACAACGTCTGCAGAACCTGTTTCACATGGGAGTGGTGAGTTTGAAGATCAGGGGAATACACTAAAATATCGTCCAAATACACCAAGACAAATGAGTAAATCAATTCCCTGAGTACATCATTTATAAAGTCTTGGAATACGGCCGGGGCGTTGCCTAACCCAAATGGCATTACCAGATATTCATAGTGTCCACTACAGGTATTAAATGCCGTCTTCTACTCATGATTCTCTTTAATTCTAACCAAATTGTAAGTGCTCCTAAGGTCAAGCTTAGTAAATACTTTAGCTCCCTGAAGTCTATCGAACAATTCGGAAATGAGTGGGATAGGGTATGCATTTTT